GCGAACAGGGGTTTCCGTTGGGGGACGGCGGAGCATCCAGTCTACGCAGCCGCACGCAACGTCGCCCGTCCGGTGTCGATCTCAGGTATATCGTCAACATCGGAAGATGTCAAGTCTGCTATGGTTACGGCTTCTCACGGTGGATCATCGGATGTGTCGTATGTGCCTAAGATGGTTTCTGATTTTGATGACTGGGAGATGGCCGGCGGAGAGGAAGAAATGATGGTTAATCCTGGTGAACCGCTGCCACGACTCGTATTTGGTGGAGCTCCTTCTCTTCAGGAAGCTACAGAGGCTACTTCTGATCTCAAAGATGCTCTGTATAATTCATTTCTCCTGCTATTTACTCTGCTATTGTTTTTACTCTGCCTGCAAATTTGCTTATCATTTTGTTATCTGTTATTAGTGTCTATGCGAAGTATTGCTTTTTGTTTGTGTTTATAATCATTAAATTGCAACTCTTTTGTGTTCTAAGTCACCATAGAGCATCAACCTCTCCAGTCTGAAAGCTAATTTTGGTGGTATGTTTTGCTTTTTGTGAAATTTAACAGTGATTGAGTGATTACTCAGTTGATTGATTCGATTAACGAATAAAGTTACAATTTTTTGCTCCTTAGAGTAAAATGGGACACTTTGTAGAAAAATTGCAATGTCCAATTCTGTGTTGCCTTATTTTCATGTAGCTTTGAATTATCCCAATATGAACTTTACTTTTGAAAAGGAGATAACTCTTAAAACTGATTGCAAAGAAGCACCTTGGGATAGCATTTGCTGTACATACATACTATTCCCTCGGTTCCGATTTATGTGGCATTGTTGGTCCTAATATAAAGTTTAAGAATTAAGGGAAGACACTTCTATTTAGCAAATTGCCCTTATAAAATTCACTTTTGGTACTTACTTTTAGTTGACTTTTCTTCATTATAAAGTGTTAAGTGGAACTCAATAAGTATGAAATTAGGATGATGCCAGTACATAGTTGCTACATAAGGAAGGGTGACATTCTTTTTGGGAGGGTCTAAAAGGAGATGGTGCCACATAAATGGTGAGTATTAGGCAAGGCCGTAGGGGTGTTCACGGTTTGGATACAAACCGATCCAAACCGAAAAACCGAACCAAACCGATAAAATAAAATCGATTTTATTTGGGTTTGGTTTGGTTTGGTTTTAGATTTTTGAAAACCGATAGTATTTGGTTTGGTTATGGTTTTATTAAAAAAAAACCGAAGAAATAACCGAACCAAACCGATGAATTATATACATATATTTTATTAATATACATACTTAATAGATTGTCTTTATAAACAATTTTAAAGATCTTATACATATTTTCATTAAAATTTCTTTATAATTTACTTATTGAAAACAAAAATGCCTAAGATGAAACATTTATCTTATTGATTTGATGTATATGAGTGTCTATGACAATTCTTGTGGGATTGAAAATGTTATTGTCTCTTCCTTTTAGGCTTAATATAGTGAATTTTAAAGCTTTATTGATAGTAAATTTAGTGATCGAAAGTTCAGTAATAATTTAAGTCATTCTAACTATTTTTCGTTTTGAATGGATTGTTGTCACTTTTTTCACATTTTGAATGAATTGTTTCTTTTATTTTTGTGTATGGTTAATAACCGAACCAAACCAAAACCGATAACCACCAAACCGATAAATGTATATTATATTTGGTTTGGTTTGGTTTTGATAATTTAAAAACCGATTAAGTTTGGTTTGGTTTTGGTTTTAACCAATAATCGATCCAAACCAACCCGTGAACACCCCTAAGCAAGGGAGATCAAGCAAGTCATTTGTGCTATTAAGGCCTTTTTGATTAATTCAAAAAATCCGCCTTTTCAACTTATTCCATGTCATAAGCTGTGCATGCTCATAAGTACTATGGTTGGGTGACACTACCAGAGTCCAAGTGCGCTCTTCTGTGTGACAGTGTCAGTGAAGGGAGAAACTTAAGTTCTGGACCTGAAATAGGTGAAGGGAAAAATGAAAATGAACTTGTCAATTCGATTGTTGTTCCACTCTTTTAATATTGGTATGCTTAGGCATTTCATCATACTTCCATCAACCTTTAGCTTAAGCGCCCAAAAGGTTAATGATCTGGGATTTGAAAGGCTATTGGACTTAGGTTGTCATATGAACTTCTCAGTGTCACTCTGCTGTTATGTTCCAACAGATATATTTGCTCTAATAGAAGATGTAAACAACTACTTACATAGTGTGAATTCAAAACTTTTGTTAAATTTACAGGGTATATTTGTCTGGATCTGCTAATGGATATGGGGGATCTTGTATATCCGGCTCAAGCTCATCGCCCGTCTCCAAAGCCTGTGTTGTCAGCGAGACTATAGTCACAAAGTCTGTGCCGAAACATGCTGTTCAGGCATATAGGGTTCTGAGTGAAATTCCTGCTGCTCAGGTTTTCTTCTTTGTCATTTTTGTCTAGAAGTCTCTTAGTTTTCATATTCTATCTAGTGTTGTATGTTCATGTCATAGAAACTGGATATTGCAATTTTTTCTTTTAATCCTTCAGTATAAGCCGTTACTAGGGTGAGGAATGATTCTGAATGTGTTCAATTTGACCAGATAAGAAGATCCAGTCAACAAAAACTGAACTACTATTGTAGTTATAACATAAAAAGTGGAACTATTTAAGCCAGCCCCTAATTCTACTTGTGAAATCTCCTCAAACAGGATCTGTTTTCTTGCTAGTGACAAGAAAATTTAGAACTCTTCATACTTGAGAGTGTGCAGCTCATTTGATTTTTCTTTAGGTACTCCTCTCTAGATGTTGACATCTAGAAGAGCTATATTTGAGTTGAGTCCAATACTGAAGATACTTCCTTAAAATTTCTGAAGAAGAAGAAAGATCTCAACGTCAAGATAACTCGACTCTTAGAATGTTCAAGTATTAGATAACGTCCCCTCCCCATGTGGTTCTCATGCTAGGTATTTCTTTAACCTTTTTTTTTTTAATTTTCTGGTGTCAAAGTGTAGTTCGTTGTTTTATTCAATTTCGTTGGTTGGAGGAAGGCTAGTGTTATTAGCTTTCTTTATTCACATTTTAGTACGAAGCATGATCATAAAGTGACTTAGATGGGTCCAGGCTCTATAGATCTAAAAGTAGTATTTCTTATGCATTTTCTTGGTGTTAATAATGTTGGCATCTGAGTAGACAGTAGACACTCATAATAACTTCATGAAGCTCTTTGGAGTGCCGTCTTAGTAGTGTCCGGAGGTTACGAGTATTCCAGGTCTGCTAATGTTGACTTCATTTTTCTCCTTCCCAGAACGTTGTTGCTTCAATTGCTTGTGACCCAAATGTGTGGAATGCAGTACTGCAAAATCCAGCCCTTCAAGATTTCCTCGAGTCACAGAGATCCAGTGAGAAATGTATGCCCTTGATTTTCCTCGAATCTCTCATAATGATCAAGCTTCTTACTACATTCTCATAATTGCAGGTGCGTCATTCCCCGACTCGGATCAAGAGAAAGATGAATCGGTTGCTGATACTGCTTCCTTTTCTGAATCATCCCCATGGAAGCCATTTTCTGAATCTAAGGCGGAAGAGTCTAAATCTGGGAACTTTTTTACAAGCTTTTTGCAGAATGTTACACAAACAGTGGTTGATATGATGGACAGCTTATCAGATTTCTTTAACAATCTCTTTGGAGGCAACAAGTTTTTTGTTGATGCTGATGGAAGTGCTAAATTTGGCGCAGTGGAGAAGACACTTGGAGCATCTTTCATGGCTTTGGCAGTCATGGTTATGATGGTGGTCGTCTCAAAACGCAGTCACTAATGATGTCTTCAAAGTTTTAACTATTTGAATTTGCCGAACTTACATGACTAAAACTATTTGAATTTGCTGGAACTTACATGACTAAGTGTTACAGTTTCTTCTAGAACAGGTTCTGAGGTTTTCGTCGAGGGTTTCTGGTCCAATGACTTGTGGAAGTGGCTTGTAAATAAAAATAAAATCATTATAGACAATGTTTCTGTTTTTTGATTCTTGGCTTTGCCATCTCAATGCCATTCAAGTTGATCTTTCCATTCAGCAGTTGTGTGTTTTGTTAAACAAGACTGATTCTATATGGTATACAAGAGTGAGTTTGCAGTTTTCAGCAAACAATGATGCTAATGTACATAGTTCAAACTCTACAGTATCATCTTAATTCGCTTCTAGCATCGTTGAAATCAAATGAAAAACACATTTCATAATAACGCGTTCAGATATCTCTCCGATGTAAGCATGCTTTTGAACCACTTAGCAGAGGATTTTGGTGTCCTAGTGAGATTGTTCTTGAAGTCTACATGGTATAGTCCAAACCTTACAGTATAACCTGAGTTCCATTCCCAGTTATCAAGTAGTGACCAAACAAAGTAACCTTTGATATTGCAGTTGTCTTCCCTGTATTCATGTGATTTTTTTTCTCATGTAAGAACAGAATAACAAAGAAACTCGAAACATAGTAATAAAAAGCTGCGATAAGTTGAAGTTTGAGCACCTTATTGCAGCAGAGAGATTCGAAAGATAGTCTCTGTGGTAAGTTATTCTCCTTTCATCTTGTAAAGCATCGTTTAACGCTATATGTGATTTGTTTGGTTCATCCATACCTGAAATCAAGTAATTCAAGTTTTTGGTACTCATGTTCTGTTTGTTTCTTATGCAGGATGACATTTCTTACCGTTTTCAGTAATCATCACCAACGGGTTTCCATATTTATCTTTGATGTAATTCATCAACTTCCTAATGCCCCATGGGACGATACGTAGCCAACCAGATGCAGCCTGGAGGATGACACGATCTTTAGGACAACGATCAGCAGTTCTCAAATATAGACGTATGAAGCAACTAATCAGGCCTACCTTTTCTCCTATTGCGACTCCACGCCTGTAAGCTGAAGTAACAAAGGTGATGATCAGTTGCTAACTAATAGTCCAATTTAAATAGTGAGTACTAGTTTTGATATCTTACGAGTAGTTAGCACAGCAGAGTCGGAGTAAGCATCGTGAAACATTAACTTCATGGTCCTTACTCTATCGTTCCGTGCATATAACGTGGTATAGTGATTGATGCCAAGAAAATCAATAGATCCCTTTAGCAGTTTTGCCTCATAGGGAGTGATCTTGGGCAGTCTTTCAGCCACCAACTTCTGCATTGAAAGAGGATAATTCCCAAGTAGTAGTGGATCAAGGAACCTGAGTCACTTTGTTTTTGTTAAATCGATACGTTAACACTCAATTTTCTTCATAACTACATTCACATTATAAGAAATACATGACTAAAATTACCAGCCAAGTCCAAAATCCATCGCTCTGCTTGCAGCAGCTCTGTCCTCTTCACAATCTGAATGTGGCTCGTACCATTTAGAATCTAATGCTATCCCAACTTTGCCTCGCTGACTTGCCTGGAATCAGTGGCGAAGCAACAAAAAAAAAAAAACACTAAGGGCGTTCAAGATTTAGTATATATTTACAGAAAGCAAATTTTGACCACCCTTCTGTCTATATGGCTACGCCACTACCTGGAATACTAGTTAAATAAGAACAGAATGTCCATACACTATTTCGCGTCCCTCTTTTTAACTCAGTAGTCATCAAATCTATCATAAAAGTTCTTTGTTAGAACTGAATTACCTTGAACATTTTGTGGTAAGCATGATAAGCAGCAGCATGAGACAACAGAATGTTATGTGCTATGATATATGGCTCAACGGACGATTTTCCTTTCCTGCAGAACAAGTGCAAAAGAATAGAGCACCTTCCTGGAGCTTGAATTCCAAAGTCATAACCTTGAATTGTAAAACCATGAGGCTCGTTAAAGGTGATCCAATGCTTCACTCTATCTCCAAATGCTTTGAAACAGGTAATAGCATATCGTTCAAATTCTTTTCTGCAATGAAATAAGAGTTTATATATCAGCTGGAAATTTGTACTTCACTTATGCAATAGACTTTGTGATCACTTTGAACACCTTTTGTTGGAAAATTATATTGTGCATTATAGGTGAAAAGATTATCTTTGATAGTTATATATTAAATTTTCAACACTATTAACGAAATTCTCAACTTCTCCGTTGTCTGGAGGACTGTAAGCTATACATACATTATTCGATTGCTTAAAAATCCTTCGTACGAATCTTCAAGCTTTTGTGGTAGATCCCAGTGAAATAAAGTTACATAAGGTTGAATTCCTGATCATATTACAATAATTAAATAATTAGCTTCATATAAAGTTTAGATTTTCATATAGCATGTTCTATACTTTAATTGAACCTTTTTCTAGTAAGGCATCTATGAGATTGTTGTAGTATTCAATTCCTTCTGGATTTGGTTCCCCTGTTCCATCTGTGACATATAAGGTCGTTAAAATAGTAAGTCTCCTTAAAAAATGAAATTTATTACCCACTACAAAAGGTAAAGATGACATGTTTCATTATACTGATGATGATGTATATAACTTAAACTCGAAAGGACGAGTAAATGATGATAAAAGGAGAAAATCTTACTTGGGAAAATTCGTGTCCAAGAAATTGAGAATCTATAGGCATCCATTCCTATATTCTTCATCAAGTCTATGTCACTCTGTAAAATATTGTCAAAGCTAAGTCATCTCATACAAGTTAGTTAAATAACAACAAAACATATTTTTAAATTTTTTTTTTTGGGTCAGACAAAACTTAGTTTTCACAAAAGGGCTCTAGCCTCTACTATTTATTTTTGGGAAAAAGGATTATATACCCTTGAACTATCGTAAATGATATGCAGATACCTTTCGTCATATTTTTGGGACATTGGTGCCCTGTCGTTCAAAAACTAGAGCATATATGCCTTTCACTCTAACGGAAGACTAAATAGGGACACGCGGCACAATCTTATTCGTCGATTCGATATTTAATAAATGTCGGATCGGTGGATAAGATTATGACACGTGTATGTCCGTTAGTATAAATGGTATATATGCTTTAGATTTTGGACTTCAGGGACATCAATGTCCCAAAAGTATAACATATGATATCTGCATACCATTTACGATAGTTTGGATACCTTTTTTCCTTTATTTTTTTGTACTAAGAGAATACTCTGATGTGGAAGCAACTGTTATTCTTATCTTTTTAAAGATGATAAGACCCATTTGTTCTCTTGTATTTATTTAAAATAGTCGGTGCATATTAAGATATGATTAGGTGACATTATTTATCCATAAAGTACCTTAACCAAAAATTAAATATTTCAACTTGTGTTTCTAATAATGTTTAATTTAAAATATAGTATTTTTTCGTTCATATTAAGTGAATTGTTGGAACTTTTACATGAAAACGATGATATTGATCAACTGCTGTGTTTGCATTGCTGAAGTCCAGTATTCTTCCTATAGAATTAGAAACAAGATAATACATCAGACTTTAAAAAGTATAGTACTAGGATATTTCATTCAAAAAAAGGTATTCAGGAAATTCGCCGTTGAAGATATAAATAATTAAATAAAAAAAAAGTGTGTTGTACGTAATAGTTGAAGCTTTTAGATGAGATGATTACGAATAAACTATTTTACCTGGTCTTTTGATGAAAGTATCCCATATGCTAATTCCCTTGTTTCCTTCATCCACAGCACCTTCAAACTACAAGACCAAAAGAAATACAGACGAAGTCAAGATTTCAAGTTTATGAGTTTTGAATCATAATAGTTTTTGCTTATTGAGTTTTGAATAGATATAAATACTAAGTTCATTTTTGACTCATATACAGAACCTGAGTCAAAAGCTACTGAATTCTGTTTGAACATGTAACGTAAATACCCCTGGATTAGGAAGGGGCAATAACAAACCTGATAAGCTGAAGAAGAAGTTCCAAAGATGAATCCCTCTGGAAAATCAGAACGGCTAATGGACTCAGAATTCACCAATAGACAAATGATGAAGAAGGAAAATATGATTTTCATGGGGGTTGGAGAGTCTTTTTCAGTGTAAATAAGGGGGTAATTAAATATTAAACTTTGGTTTAGTGGTGTTATAATACAAAAAAGTGCAAAATGCCAGACTTAATATAGAGAAAACCTTTTGTATATACTTCAAGAAATAGGCAAAACATTTGGAGTAGTTTTATGTTAAAATTTGGTCGCATAGAAAAGGGGACAAATGAGACACTCACCCTTCTCTCGCGTCATAAGAGGACTATTTTTCTTTTTTTCATATTCAGGACTCGATACTCATATTGAAATACAGATTTAATTCAAATTTTGTAAAGAATAAAGTATTTTTTATACTAGTAATTTTTATATTGAAAACTCAAAATTAAAATTCACGATTTCATAATATCATTTTTCATTTTTGTACTTTGCTTACGTGTCGTGATATGAGGGTGACAAGTGTTAGCACCCGCCGATTGATTTCATTTGCCTTTGCCTTCACGACTATTATTCCTCATGAAATAATTTGAACTCTCAACATTTAAGTAAAGCTTCAAGGTGTCTACTTCTTTGGTTTTAAAAAATAATTTTTTTATATAAATCTAGTGTTAATCATCATAATTAACCATAAAATGTGAGGTTTTTTAAGGAAGCGTTGTGATGGAGTTTGATAGATTTTAAATTTTTTATTATTATATTATAGGAGGGGATAATGAAATGAAATGTATGATATTGATGGGATTTGAACTTTTCATTTCAAGTTTTATGTGAAAACTAGCTAAAGGGACGGGATCTAGTGATTAATGAAGTGGATTGAGAATCTTGTGGTTTTAAGATCAAATAATTAATTAATTTTCTTCTATCACAATCTATTCTAGCTTTAGTGAACGAATTACTTGATATCTATCACCGATAAAGGTGAAAATAAATATTTTGTAAAATAATGGAGATGTGCTTAAATTGACTCGTGAATGAGTCAACTTTTTGTTTATTTAAAAAATAAAATAAAATATAATGACATCTTTAGTCGAATTAAGGGAAGATTTTTTATGGGCTTCAAATTGCAGTATATTATAGTGCAACAATAGTAATTTTTATTTAGAGTAGAGTTGCAATTTCCCATCATTATACTCTACTTCTAATACCACTTGTCAACGCTTATACAGTCTATCTTAATAATTTACGTATATACTAATTATAAATTAAATATACACGTCATACGTGTACATCATATCTATATTATCATTAATATATATTTATAATATTATATTTATCGATTATTATTTTAACAAGCGAATATATATATAGTATATTTATTATTATTTTATTAACAAACGAGTATATATATACAGGAGGTGTTGCATTACAGATAACTAATGATTAATTTGATTAATATTGAATTTGAAATAATCATTTTTTACTTTATTTATATAATATAATCTTTTTGACAAAAAAAGATTCGAACTTCTGCACATATTGCATAGTGTTACGTACACGAACGTACAGTTTTGGAATTTATTATCCCAACTCATAAATACATATATTTACGTATAATTCATTTTACACTTTTAGTGACGAATCCCACACGCAAGATAATTGTTATCCTTTAAGTAACATCCATTTTGCCTTTAATAATGTTTGATTGGAAGCCAAACTATTATTAAAAGTAATCTATTTTGATGTGAAACTTGAAAATATATTATTGTTCCTCCTATTTTTTCTAAACTTTTTAAACAAGAGGAATTAAGTTAATTAAATACACTATGTTCCATGACAATTTTTTTCGGCAAAGGGCCAAATATACCCCTGTACTATATGAAATAGTTTAAATATACCTCTTATGTTATATACTTTCGGGCTAAATATATCCTTATGATTAACATAGAACACGTGTACGACTGAGATTAAATGAATTATTCAATTTAAACTAAATCAAATTTGGATATAACCCGCTCCGACCCAATAACTTAACCCGACCTAATGTGTAACACTAACCCACCCAATTTGTCTTTCAAACAAGAAAATCCAATGGGCGATTGAGTTCTTGTACTCCAAACTCCAGCAACGTCTGCAACTTGGAGCCTCTGCTTCCAAAGATTTTTGCTCAACAAGAGGCACAAGAATATAGGTAGGCGAAGTTGTGAGTGGGAACTTGCAC